AGCACCAGCACCAGCACCAGCACACAAAACCAAAAACAGGTGGCTGTTCCATACACGGGAAACAGCGGGTTCAACGTCCAGGCTGCTCAGGGTTTCATCTTAATCTCAGGCCAGCCGCGAACGTCCACCGAGCTTCGGAAAGGATTTGGGAACTGTATCATCCGTCCTTGGCAAACTCAGACTCTCGGCGTCTGGCATACGCTCACCTTTTCCAAAACCGGCCCGGCCGTCACGAGATTGTAGCCACACGACGGTGTCATGACCCCCACTGCAAGAACCCCACGAGACTCAAGACTTCCGAACCTGCAGGTTGAACAGTGTTGGAATGGCCCTTCCAGCTATGCTCAGAGGAGTGGCCTTCTGTGTTCTGCGCCCAGATGTAGTCGAACTGTGCGTCAACGGCATCTGGCAGGGGCCCCACTTCCTTGACGAGACTGGACAAGGTGAGCACTTCACGTGGTCCGATCGGACATGTCGGCGAGCTGTACAACGTCGAGAGAGGGCTTAGGCTTAGGCTTAGAGACTGCAAGATGCAAGTTTGGCCAGGTCACATCGTGGAGGCTGGTCGCAAATGGCGGGTGAGGACTGGGAAACCCCAGCTGCAGGAACCACGGCTTGTCTCCTTGCGCCGCATTGAAGCTACTTCGGGAGTGTCGCACTTTAAGGTTTTCTCCACGCTCGCTGCTCGCTTCTTTGGGTAATGGCTTGGGTTCTTCTGCGCTGTGCATTTTCCCAACCTGATCAGTGGGCTCGAAGCACACCGATGCCAGTACGTATCAAGGTGCCGAGCCCTACATACAACTATTGTATCATATTATTCTGACATGACCAGCCATCCAGCCCCAGATTGGTCGACCCGTCCATGTCGCTTCCAGTGCCGTTGCAAAAGCACCTGGTCAAAGCAAAGGCTCCGATCTGCCAGTTCGGCTAAAGGCAGGCATGCAGAAAAGCTCCAACCTCGTCCGAGCTTGCAAGTGTATTGCATCTCCGGCTCTCCGGAGGCAGAGTTTACAACGGACAACCCGTGAGCCCGCAACTCTGAATCCTTTTGAAGCGCCCAACTTACGGGTCCAAATTACAAAGTAGATTCACTGCTTCATTGGGGGTGTCCCTTGATGAAGTTCATGTTTCGGAGCTGGCTTCGATTCAATGGCCCTGGATTTCACAACGTCCAGACACCTCCGCCTGTAAACGGCTCCAATGATCAACGCCCACGTCCGGCTCTAGGCAGCCTTCCTGCTTGCACCTGCGGTTGGTTGATGTTTGGCTTGGATTTCAGAGCTGTAAATGGCTAGTCTACGGCCTCTGATCTGAGTGATCTTCCCTCCACCGAGTTCGTTACAATTGTTGAGGCCACTGATATCCAAACTCTTTATTCCTCGGAATGGTTCGGCTGGCACATGGGAGAGCATGGCTGTTTCCTGATTGCGTATTTTATTCCCATTACTGGTCGCCTTTACATGTGGCATCATCAGGCACCGTTATGTCACGTTCGAAAGACGATGGGGCAGAGGCGGAATCGGCTTTTCTTCCCAACTCATCGACGCCAAAAGCCGTAAGCTTCCTAGTTCGAGACAGCAGTTGCGTCAACTGGGGAGGACCTGGCGTCTGGTCTACGCATCGCGAAGAAGCGGCACAGCGACGCAAGTCTGCCATTGCAACCACAACTGTAGCCTTCCGAGAAAAGGACGACACTTTCCCCTTGGACGCATCGCTGCTTAGGCAGGAAATTTCAGATTAGCATCAAGAGCGACGATAGTAGCCTGAAGCCACACTCGTCCATGAAGATGGTCTCGCACACTGGGGTTGAGTTGCAGCAGCCACCCCTACCTTGGGCTAGGCAGATCAAGCCGCGTTCGGAAATGGCATTCGGGCGGGATTCGCAGGGGTGTCTTTCGGGCCTGAAATTCACTGATTAAGAAGAAGTCTTTCAGATATGTGGGTTAGGGCATTAGAAACCAAAGTTGCGCATCCTTTGGTCCACTGGTTGCGGCTGCCATCCGCCACAACTTGTAGATTCATCTGTTCAGCAAACACCCCAGAGTCGCCAACGTATGCAGCCCCGGTCGCAAATTCCAGTGCAAACCGAACAGAGACTGCAAACAGATGATACTATCCCCCAAACCAAACTTCACAATATCGTCTGTGCAGCTGATTGAAGGCAGAACGCGTCGCACAAGCACAACTGGCTTTGACCACTGCGAAGCTGAAGCTTTCAAGGCAGGATGCCCATGGTCCCCACGGCGTCGCAGTAGGCATGGAAGAGATCATTCTCTTTCAGGTGAAGGCCGAAGTGATCCATCTCGCAGCGAGTAAGCCAAAGATTTACAAAGATCTCTTTGCTGCTCCTGGTGCCTGTAAGGGAAGGGAAGAGCCTGCTTAGTGATTTCGGAGCCTCTGGCTTTCTTCTCTCGGTCGTCCGAGAGATGCCAATAGATGCTAGAGATACTTGTTACTTGCCTTTGTAGCACCAGTAACTACTTCTACCCACACGGGAGTGCAGAGTTGATGCATGTGCCGGTGTGTAGTCATATGATGGACGCAGGGAACTCCGCCAACAAAAAACACGAGGTGCTTGATCATTGGAGTTGCAGCAAGCAGCTCTTGGGGAGGGTGGCGGGAAACTTGCCGGCTCTTTGCTGCGCCAAGTCACGACTCCACCTTTGGAGGCATTCTTGCAGATTCCATACTTGTCAGATGATCGCGCGAAGAGATCCACCCCCAAGACCTGCAGCGAAGTTGACTTAAGGTCTCGTGAAATGTATCTGAACACCAGGAAATGGCGTTGGTCAGAAAACATTCCGGGTCCTTCACGCAGTCGTCTCTTTGAATTGTGGTAAGTGCCGAACACATGCGCGCAAACAAAGACATGTCTGAGCCTGGATTCCGGACCGTGGATGTCATGGAAACAGCTATAGTAAGCGGAGACTCAGGGCGTTGCAGCAAGTCAGGATTTAGAGAGCTTCCATCGCATAGATTGAGTGCACAACAAACATGATAAGCATGTGCTGTTGCCAGCAAAGCTCTGAACCCCGGAATCCATTCACGGCAGTGGAGGCCTCCATCTCTGTAGCATTGATCAAGTTGCCACTGTCCCCGGACAGATGGTCCTTCCACAGCTTTTCGTCGCTGGGGGTATCTTCCGGGCCACATTCGACCGTCGTGACAGAGAGACTCCCCAAATCCGATTTCAGTGCACTCTGAATGCGCTTGGGCAAGGCACTTTTAAAACTTTAGCTGCGTGGCTTCATGGCGAACTGCGAACGCAGCTCCACAGCAAAGACATCAGCAACGGAACGAATCCCCACAGCTGTAGCCTTCCTGTGTTTCCAAATTCATCCTCACACGGCGCTGCCAGGCTGTCGTCCCTCGAAATGCACCGAGCACCGCCCAAACAAGCAAATGTATAAAAAGATGACACGGGGACTGGACGAGGCTGGCAGCTTGAATCAGGTAGAGTCAGACTGTGTGCACACACCCTCGCAATGTCAAACCTTCATCCAGAATTCAGATGAAACCCGTCACCGTCACCTGCACCTAAAGCGCGAATCGGCCAAGGTATTGATGCAAGACGAGCTCATGCTACACTCAAAACCGAAAGCCCTCCTTGCCAGCAAAGATTGTCGTGTAGCCCGCGTCCCGCAGTCTAGACATAAAGGTAGGAGACATCCTGGGCAGATCGGCTTCTGCAGGCCACGCAGATGGCACACAAAGGCCGGGCGGGCTGTCTCCGTAGAAGCTAAGCCTTCAAAGGAAATCCTGAAAGCACTGATCTTGCTGTTGCATTCGGGATATCAGGCCGGACTGAAACTGTGCAAGGAACTGCGGCGAGGCATAGATGTCCTGGTTCTTCTGCACCCACATGTCCTTCGTGGATCTCGCGGTCTATGCTGCTGCAGGTCGCGGGGAAGCCGGCTAAACGTCCATTGCTGCCCCCTTCCCCCAAGCTCCAGAACACGTGACGCTGACAAGTGGTGGCACTGTAGAAGATGCCTGCACAGAACATCTGCTCAAGGAGTCCTTGTATTCCCTGACTGCGGTGAGGGAGCTCCGAGCCGGAACACACAAAGGTGAGGTCGTGTACGCCCGCGTGAAGCCTGGCGGCGCACTGGGTTCTACGACTTCGCTTGGCAATACGTAAGTATCAGAAAACAAGTGCCCACTAACGCACTCATGGTCATGAACACGACACCGGAGTTGCATTCCTGCCCCATAAAACTCCAGCTCCATTTTCGGCATGGCGCGAGTGCCCACCGAAGCCAGAGACTTCACTGTGGGCATCGAAACTAACGCATCATCGAACCTGCAGTCGGTCTGGCCGGTGAGCGGTGATCAGGAAGCTTCAAGGCAAGGCTTGAGGGTTCAGATTCGTCGATTTCTGAACGAGCTGCTATTGCTTTATGCTTTTGTGGTTTCTTGTCTCGGAGGCATGGGGCTTTTGCATCTCTATGCGACAATGAGAATAAGGATGGGCGGCAGAGCATCACATGAAAACACAATTTACAACTCCTCTGGAAATCGATGAAAACTAAAGCAACAGCGACCGTCCGAGAAAGCAATATTCAAACGAAAAGCTTGGAACCACAAACTAATTAGTTCTAACACACAGCGAACACACACACACACATACACACACACACACAAAAACAACAAAAACAAAAACAACCTCGGTGCCGTTCGCGCTGTGCATTTCACAGGCTAGAGTGCCAGGGTCCGGAAGCATTAGTTGGTACTTTTTCAGTGTTTTGCTCAGGCAGGCCTGGAACCTCTGGCTTTCCTCTGTTTTGCAAGCTCAAACGCAGGTTATTCTGGAACTTCAACGTGCAAGGTAACGATGCCGTCGAAGGAGATCTGTGCCGAGAAGCCAGGAAGTCGGAAAGCCGAGAAGGGAAGCCCACAAGCCCAGACGCTAGAACGCTAGAAGAAGCCAGCAAGCCGAGAAGCAAAGAAGTTCGAAAGCTAAGAAGGATATCCAAGACACGAGGCCAGAATACCAGGAAGGAAAACCCAGAAGCCAAGAAGCCGAAGCAACAAAAATATCCAAATACAACATGCAAAAAACTACAAACAAATACAATCCCCTGAAGTGTTCCGCTTCTTTTCGTTGCTCATACTTGTGGCTCTTATCTTGAACCGGTAAGGGGACCCAAAGCATTCGGCCCGCAAAGCCGAAGCACCCTGCCCAGTCGGCGCGCCACTGGTCCAAAAGGATCAGCAGCAGATTGGGCCTGGGGACTCCGGCCCTATTCATGCCTGGCCTGCATGTGACGCCTGACTTCAAGTGCTACATGGCCATATGCTCGGCAACATGTAGATTTCGACTCTCACTCTCTGCACAGGCAGGCAACGCTCCACACATGTCCGTCACATGTAGATTTAGAGTTTGAATGATAGAATCACGTGCATTGCGGCACTGCCAAACTATCCTCCGAACTCTGCAGAAAAGTTCTGCTGCAGCCTGCACTGCAAGCTCGACGAGCATCACGAATCCAGACAGTCTTCGATCCACTGTCGCAAATCAAGCTGCAACATTTAACCCGATCTGCCAATGCGAAGTCGGGCAGACATTCACAAAAGCTAGCCATTCGACGCCTGCGATCCGACGACGCATTTCGCGGATGCTGCGGCCGCCGAGTCAATTGCAGGTTCTGCTGGAGGAGGACCACAGGAGAATCTATCTCCTTCATAGACGCGGCTTCTACTGTACGTCGCTGTGGGGAGGGATAGTGCGCATCTGCGATATTCAATATGCATTGGAGCAAGCACTGAATATTCAGAGCCCCACTACAATGTTTTCCAGTGTGGTCGCACTGACTTGCGTGCAGAGGCTTTGATCCTATCTTGATGTTCTCTAAGAGCAGGCTAGTGACTAGAAACGATCACACAAACATACATGGCATGACAACAGCAAACATGATAGTACGCAGCCACTACTGCCAGAAGAGCGGGCTCCAGAATGCAGCACGAGTAGTAATACCGTCGCATCGTCTCCTCTGACACAGAGTCGACGTCCAACTCGGCACAGTCGCTCCTCAGCGTTTGGCACCGTGCACAACTCACGCGGTCCCCCATTGCTCTTGCATGCAATCACCACGAATGCACCGGCATTGGATTGGTCATGCAACTGCTCTGACCGTATGACGCGGGTCCTGCAAAGCGCAACAACGCGTCACCGGAGGGAGATCCAAGGTTCCGTCTGACGTCAAAGAACATGCCCTGCTAGAGACTGTATCCTTTCCCTGCTGGCAAGACTCGGCGGGGCCTCCACCAGTGCGCCGATGGTAACGGCCAGCAAAACTTAGCGACCACAGCGGGGAACACGCTGGACCACTGGATTTCAACAGTTAGAAGACTTCATATTCCGAACAAGTTGGGCCGTACGAGTGGCCACGTCATGCATGTGAAGCTGGTATTAAAGCATCTGTCGCCAGTGAAACTCCAGTTTTGTGCGAGTGTCGAAGATCGACCAAGAAAAAGCGGAGGCAGCGCATGGCCGCGTGGACTTGGATTCGTAGATGGTCTGGCGGGTCTGTAGGGTTTGCTGGCTTGAAGTGCTCACGGGGAACGGGAATGAACAGCCTTGTTGCTGATTTGTTAGTGATGCCGCGATGCCTGTGTTGTTCCAGATCTCCTTGTCGTGGCACCAACATATGCATTTGTTGGATTAAACTTCGGGTTGGACCTCGACCCAGGAAAGCTCAGCTGAACCGACCCTACAACCTGAAGTTTCTTTGGTGATTGCCTCTGAAGGCAAGTCTGAGCCAAATTGGCTAGGGCTTGAGCGCAACAGTGGACACGCCTTCATCCTTAGTTGAACCGTTGGCTCGTTGACTTGTTCGAGTGGGTCAGAAAGAAATGAGACAGCAGCTGGGCCATGCAATCTCCTCAGTCCCCTGACGGTCCCTATTTCTTCATTGGGCTGCGCCGGGCTGAGAATGGCTTCCCTAGAATATCTTGTCATTTGTCTGTCTATATCTGGCGGCAGGTACATGCTGAATACGGACGCCCAGCTTTGCAAAAACCTCTGCTTCCCGTATTCTCCTCCAAGTCCCCACTTGCGGCCGCCCGCCTGCATTAGGGCCAAGGTCTCGACAAATGCTATGCTATACGTGAGGCTGACAGCCCCGGCAGTCAACGAAAACCCGACTGTAATTAATACTCTCTTCTTACAGACTTAAGCCGAAAGATAAACGCGATCTGGCTTCCAAGTTTCGACGTCAGAACAACGAGTAACGAGATAATACACAAATCGGGTGCTCATAAGTCTTCGTATGCACATACGGACACCGGACCAAACAGGGCATGCGGCTGAAAAGCCGACAGTTGCTGGCTTCGATTCATGCATCCTAAATCTGTGTCCAGAATGTAATTAGACTTCAAACGCCAGAAGAGGGCCGAGGTGAATCCCAGCCCCAAGCTCGGGCCCACGCTCCACGCGCGCCGCCACGCCCTCGCCCGACCGAAAGAGGAAGATATGCAGGCCTGGCTTCAAACACATACTGATGAAAGCAGCTCGGCATGCTTGGGAACATCCTCGGTGATTTCTTAAGTCTTAAAGCACATGCTCAGGCCATGTTCGCGGCTCCAACGCAGGGGGTCTGTTCGGACAGGATCTGCTTTGCAGTCTGTGCGGGCTCTACTGGAGGGCTCCTGGTTGGCTCGTACTGTCCGCAACAAGATTCACACCTAGTGCGCCACCGAACTCCCCAAGCGAGGACAAGTAATCAATTGTTTTTGGCTTGACGTTGCCATGCAGATGCTTCGTCCAAGTCAGCCCAGCCACAAATGCAATCTAAGAGTGTTGGTCTCTTTATACATATGGTAAACATACACGGACGGACAGAGAGAGGGAGCGAGAGCGAGAGGGAGCAAGAGGAGAGGCAGAGAGCGGGATAGACGGCGACAGAGGGGGAGAGAGAGAGAGAGANNGGGGGGGGGGGGGAGAGAGAGCGAGATAAAGACAGACAGACAGACGGACGCAAGGAAAAACCACAGCCAGCCAGCCAGGCAGACAGAGCGACAAAATTATGCCAGCAGAAGATTTCCTACCTGTGCAGCTATGTATGTCTATTCACATTAAAATGTTACATCTATCCATCCATTTATGTACATACGCATGTGCATATGCATATGCAGGCCTTGGCCGAGTGACGTTGACTCTATGGACTTGGGCGGACAAGACACATGTCCGTTTGCCAACGTAGCACTAAGCATCCCTGGGAATCACGCGTGAAGCTTGCTCTCGCACCTGGGTCTGGCTGGAAAGCAGGAAGAGCTTCGGGAAGTCGGGTGGGATGGCTCAGGATGCAAGGCCGACGGCAAGCCCCAGGCATCCCCAGGCAACACGAAGCACCGGAGATCCGAGCCATGTCAAGCTGAGGCTCGCCGCGCGTAGCTCCTCCCCGACAAAGGCGCCCTCTGCACCTGCCATGATGATGTAGCGGGAATCAGGGCTCTGCCACTGACAATCTACTTGCATTGATGTCTTGCAGGGCTGTCTGGCAAGAGTCCATGGCAAACGCTCCAACTCAGAAGTATCCAACCTCAGACTTGCCGAAGCCTTGCAATGCCCTCGCAACCCTTGCAGCAGCCTGATTTTTTGGCTGCGGCCCGGCAGCGCCAAAATCGGTATCTGCCTAACCTCAAAACTTATAATCGGTTGACGGAGAAATCCTACACGCTTCGACGTTAAGTCAAAGTCGAAGTTGTCCGGATGAGCGAAAACGGCTAAGCCGTTGAAAGCAGATGACAAAAGTGCATGGTGCGCTTCCGATTAAGTTTCTTGTCCTTTCAACTTTCTCTCTTTGTATCGCTGCCTTCGCACGTGGCGCCGCCTCCGTACCCTGAAATCCAAAGACTTCTCGAATAAGCGCCCGGCAGTGCATCGGGCAGAAGGCCATGGAGGGCCCGGCGAGGCCTCCAAAGCCAGCAAGGCCACTTCTTGGCCCTCAACATGTAATCATATTATCTCATCATATGTTGATTTTTCATATGTTGTCATGTTTTCCCAAAAATTATTGCCGCAAGACAACAAAGCTTCAATTGACCACTCCACCATAGTGATGCTTTCAGAGGAGCGCTGTCATTTGAGGCGGCTCTTCGCATTTCATCACGGAGAGGTGTAGGGATCTCGCACGGCTAATCTACCCATTCGGAGCAACCTTCCAAATATGTTGAAGGCATGGCAGTCGGGCCGTGACTTAAGACTGTAGGCCTTAAAAGCCGAGAAGTGAACATGCCCCGTCCACGCCAGAAACACCCTCTTACGTCGTGGAGAATCTTGACGTCATCTGGTTTCAACACTTCCGGGGTGGGGGCAGGTGCGTCTGGCGAAACTTGCTGGGATGCTCCCGCCTCAGTGTGGCTCAACGTTTGCAGGGCTGTGGAGTGAGACCTCACGACCTCACAACCTTGAATTTACCGACTAGCCCTGCAAGTCGACGCTGAGACCGCGGCAGCACAACTACACTGGGCCTGGCCTGTGTGGCCACCTGAACGGCTGAATGGCGAGGCGATTCAGCAAGAACAAGCCCTGATTCGTGCAGATGTGCAAGTAATCTACGACAAGTCGAAGCCCGAGGCAGCCGCAGGGACTTCCCCAGCTGCGATACTCCAGCCCGCTGCACCTGACTCCACTGTGCTTCCTCCGTGCGGCCACTTTGCGAGGCCAGTCTATGGGGTTTCTCTGTTTCACAACCTGCGAGGTCGCTTCTGGACTGCTTCCAAACGTGCCAGGACAGCGTGAAGGCCGGAAAAGCAAGCTCTGCATAGCAAGGCGGTCTTGAACCGTTGCGGTCCGTTAGGGAAGTTCGTGTTCTTCTCTTGTGATTGCTCGCTTCCTCCTTGAGTCCCTACTAAATTTCTTCCGTCAGGGCAGCCCCCTCTGTGCAGCACTTCTCTTTCTCTGAGAATGCATCGGGAGGGATCGTAGGATCAGATCTGGTACTGGCTTTGTCTGGGCCCATGACCATGACCATTCTGAAGCAACAGTTGCCCTGACCCGGGCCTCAATGCAAAAGCGAAAGGCTGCGTCAGTCTGTTGAAAGCAGGAAATGAAATCGTCTGATTTGCATGCCTTTGCTCGTGCAGCCTACCTCGTGCAGTCTGAGGCCAGCGGCACGTGGAAGGACCATCCGGTGTCCGAGGTGAATGTCAGCGATCCTCGGGTCGGGATTCAGGATGGACTCATCGCATGAAAGCCTTAGCAACTCGCATCCACGCGCTGTGGAGCAACTGGGGCCGGATGGGGGTATTGATTTCGCTTGAAGCTGTGATGCACTTGCAGCCACAAGCGATTATTTATTAGCCCTGCCAAAGCAACTCTAAGGCTGCCCGCTGTAGTAGTGGCGACCGTGCTCCAAAATCTTGTAGACCTGGTACGAAACCCGATGGAGCACACAACTCAAAAGTGCCACCGTAACCCAAGGAATTGTAGAAGCAGGTCTCGATGCAAAGGCAAGATTCTCGGCAGAGAGTTTGTCTAGTCCGGGCTGCTTGAAGCTTTAGTTAACCGCACAGACACTGACCTGACCGGAACACTTCTGCTAGGCCTCGACGAGAGGCGGAGCTTTCTGCACCCGAAGCTCCAGGAGCTGCATCCTGTGGATTTGCCATCATCCGAACATTGGCTTAACAGGAATGACCTGGAGGCTCCGAAGTGGCAGCGATGGCATTGACCCCACTGGAGGACTTTCTTCATGTCACTTTGTCACGCGATCGGAGCTGAGACAAGTGTCTCGCAACCCCGTCTCCGCAGCTCCATCGAGTTCGAATGCGAAGCCAAAGCACAACGCCACGACAACGTTCGACGGGTGTGCAGTGGTCTGTCAGTGTCGAACCGTTTGGCTGGCCTTTCTGACCTTTCTTGTGCCGCCGCGGCTGCTGCGAGCCACACCTCATTCATCTCGTCTGGGACCTCGGCGACTCTAACAGTAAGCGGTTGGGATTGATGTTGGACACTGTTGCAGCGTGACGGGAATGTAGAACAATTATTTGAGCAAGTTGGCCAATGCAATCTTGAAATCTTGCCCCACTGGGGGGCGGGGGCAAGAGTGCAAGCAAGCTTAGTCAATCTTGGTCTAAAAGGTCAACTAGTCGACAAGCAAGTGGGGCAAGATGACAAGATGGCCAAGATTGCTGGCAATCTTGCCCAAGATGGGTCCGCAAAATAGTTGTTCCAAATTCCTGGCACAATGCACTGTTGCCCAAAACCGGCTGCAAGAGTCATTGTAATCGCGATGTGGAGTCTTGACAACCTATTCCCCCAAACTCAGAGGTCATTTCTTGGAGACACGATCCTTGAGCTTGCGGCAGTTCCGCGGCTGCGCAGCTCCAATTCTGACAACTGGGGCCTGACGATCTTGCAGAACATCTCCACTACACATCATGCAGAGCATCAATGCAAAGACACCTCCGTAGAAGTAGCAAACATGCGCTCACTCCTGCAAAGCCTGAAGAAAGAACTTTCTTCTCATATGGGGATTCTGCAGTACCAACTGCGTAGATGAAGCATTGTCGGTGCGAGACATTCGACTCAAGTGGCCTGAGATTGTCCTGTGACAGGTGTTGCCGTTGCTGATTTAAGTGGAAAGACCAGTTGAGCTCTTGCTACACTAAACAAGGAGACACTGCATCAAGGCATTTGCATGAAATGCGGGTTCCAAGCAGGATCCAAGCAGCGGGCACAGCTGCCAGAACTGGTGCCAACACGGACTGTACCCAGCCTGGCCGATGACGATGAGGGGACTTTATAATTAGTCTTATCCGTACTACTGATTACCCGGGGTGCTAAGCTTCCGAACTACGCTGCCAATAGACCCGGCTAGGCCGAAAGCGGCCATGGACGAGTAGATTTTGGCTTATGAGCAAGTTCAGGGGCGTCCCTGTGTCTGAGACGCTCTTTCACCCAGGGCTCGAAAGATCCGAGAACCCCGAACCCCAAAAAAGAATTAGCCACGTGATGCGGCAAAAGCCTCCAAAGTCTCAGAAGCCGAGGCACTTGGCAAAGCAGCAGCGGAGCAAACCGGAGCCCATGCCTCTCTGCAGCACCGGTGCGAAAGCTTTGGACATCAGAAAACCGACATGGCTGTTCTTGCTTTGAATTTTGCCCAATATTTCTGTGGTATGCTTGAGGATTCAACAAACAGACGGTGCATTCGGTTGCATGCTGCTTGGCAGGAAGTGGCTGTTCAATCGCATGGAGCCTATGAGCCTCATTACATGAGGAGACTGCATGACATGATGGATGGAGGTTGCTGGGCAGGTCATGGTTGGTCCATCGGGAGCTTGCCGCTCTAGATGGCACCCTCCTGATGGTCAGACGGGGGAAATCTGTCCAAAGCCGCATTGCGGGATCAATGGATGCGACTAGAGCATGTTGGGACAGCGGACAAGCAAGCTCGAAGATGCCAGGAAAGACTGAAAAGCAAAGAGAAAATATTGGCTCCAAAGCCAACAGTCCTGGCTGGGGAGAAAAGGGACCAACCGCCGAAACTGTCTCCTCGTTTCTCCTTTAATGTCCTGAAAGCCAGGGCGACTCCCTGCCGCTAAGCCGCTAGGATCTGGACCGCGAAAAGCTTCTTCCAGATCAGACTCCGATGCTCAGGTATCTTCCACGAAGCAAAACCACGATCCAAAAAACCCTTCTTTAAAGGCTCATCACTCAAATATTAAGCACTGAACCTCGTCTGCAGTTGGACCGCCTGAACCCAGGATCTTGAAGCCCCCGCATCTAATGGAGTCTCTACAACCTCAAATTCTGATAGCTTTTGGGCCAGTCCGAAAGCAGTGTGGACTCGCTATGGGGCCGGCCCAAACGAAGGCATTGCATTCAGACCATGCCGGCGATGGTGCCCTCCTCAGTTTCAAGTGCAGGTTCCCCCTGGGGCGCGGCACTGGAGAAGCGCCGACAAAGAAATGGAAGTACTGCAAGGAACGCCAATGGTGGCTTCGGATGGCAAATAAAGGCTGCCGAAATGATCGACCGCATACTTGCTGGGGAAGGCCCAGAGTGCCAGCTCCTGACATAGCTTGCCCAAAGCTTTGCCAAAGGCAATGCCGCCGTCTTTTTTCCAGCTGTTTTTCTCCAGGGCCCTTTTCACCTGCTCGGTGATGTCGATACCATGACGAAGTTCGTCCGGTCCAACAAGGCTCGTCGAGAGAGCATCATGAAGTAGGCATCCTCGACTAGTTTCTGCTTGCCCCGCCACAGATCACACTTTGCCAGGGCCGACGGAATTTGCATCAGGTCGTAACTCAGCGTGTCTTGAAGCCGTTTCTTGGCCTCCGCCCTCTCTGCGTGTGTGGCATTGCGCTTCATTTCCAACTGGTTCTTGAAAATGGATGCGAACGACGCCCATGCCTTTTCAAGTAAGTCAGCATTGAGGCCGAAACAACGGTGGAGATCAATCTTGAACTCATCCTCGACTTTGTTTTTCCACAAAGGTCGGAATTCCAGCTCCAGCCCCGGACCGAAAAAGGCAGCCAAGAAAGCAGAAGACAT